GGGCCAGTGTGCGTGGTGCCGCCCGGGTGCGGGCCCGCCTGTGCCTGGAAGGGGATCCCGGTGGGGAGGCTCCGCGGGCCCCGGTGATACCGAATTTTTGGACTGGAACCCGTATTGTCTGTCCGCCAGAATGCACGGACTCCCACGTGGGGAGAGGGTGGGGTCCCGCCGAGGTCCCCTTCCCTGCGGCTGAGAAAGGCTGCAGACCCTGGTGCCTTGATGTCCCCTCTGATTGGTCGCTGTTCCCTCAGGCTGGTTCCTATAGTAACTGCTGGGCTCAAAGGGGGAAGCTCACATCCACGTTGAGGTTCCACCGCCCCCCTTCCTTATTGTTCCCCTATTCCCTCTGGGCTGCCTTCTCTTTATTTTGTAAATATCGGCCTTTCTGGGCTACTCCCAGTTCCCTCGGCTCATGTAAATAATGCCTGTTGCCCCTCCTTGTCTCATGGAGATGGCACTGCACCTGGCTTCCTTGTGTTACGGAGATGGACCTTCTCCCAGTCTGCAGCCCCGCGCTTTTCCATGGACCCGAATTCTAAAAAAAAAAAAAAATCCCTAAGCCTGCCTGTGTTCCCCCCAAATTCCTGCTTCCCTAGGGAAGGCAGCCCGCGTGCGGCTGTGATAGGCTTGCCTCCTGGGGGGGCGGGGAAGTTAAGCGGGGTATCGGAGTAAGACCCCCAGCGTAGCGCTTGCTGAGCCCTGTGGGGGGCTGTGTCGGTGGTGATGCCCTGCAGAGGCGGGGGAGCCGTGGTGATGCTGGGGGGCTCTCCTCCTCGAAGCCCAGGGCCGACCTCCCAGTTGAGCAGCAGCAAGAGCTGCCGCTGGTTGTCTGCCTTTGAAAGGAGGGTGGCCTCAGCCGGTGCGGCTCAGTGGATAGAACTTGGGCCTGTGGACTGAAGGGTTGTCATTTTTTTATTTGACAATCTAAGGGAAAAAAGGTCAGAGCCCCTGACTAAACAGTCAGGTATTGATGTTTTAAAAATTATCGTGGCACACCAAGAATTGCTGGGATAGAGGGAAGCATGAATAAACCAGAGGTCTTTACTGCAAGAATCTACCTCAAAAATGTTTTTACTTATGGTTTTTAAAAACCACATTATTTTTTTTTTTTAATATATTTTATTGATTTTGTACAGAGAGTAAGGGAGAGAAATAGAGAGTTAGAAACATCGATGAGAGAGAAACATTGATCAGCCGCCTCCTGCACATCTCCCACTGGGGATGTGCCTGCAACCCAGATACATGCTCTTGACCGGAATCGAACCTGTGACCCTTCAGTCCACAGGCCAACGCTCTATCCACTAAGCCAAACCGGTTTCGGCAAAAATACATTTTTTAAAAAGCAGAGGAGAGGAGGACTGGGTGCTCAGCTTGGTCTCTGGATCCCTTAGAGCTTGGACGCTGACTCTGGTTTAGTCACTCGCTGGTTGTGTGACTTTGGAAAAGGCCACTTATATCCCCGGCCCTCGGTTTCACACCCAAAATCGGAATGAAAACGCGAGTCCCGGGCTCCTGGCGAGCCCTAAGTGGACACCAGCCCTGCATTAATGACAGTCGCTTTGTCAGTGACATCACAATGGGAAGGACGCCCAGAGAGGTTCCGAATTTCCTCGCCTGGGTTCCGGGAGGACAGAAGCAGGGCGGCTTCCTGGGTGGAGGTGTCCCTTGGGACCTGAGGGGGCAAGGGGTCCCCATAGCACGGGCTGGAAGCAGCTCTGAGTCTAGAGCCAGTGGCCAGGAAACTGTGGCTCTTTGGCCCCTTGAGTGCGGCTCTTCCTAAGCCTTAGGAGGACCCTAATTAAGTTAATAACAACGTACCTACCTATATAGTTTAAGTTTAAAAAATTGGGCTCTCAAAAGAAATTTCAGTCGTTGTACTGTTGATACTTGGCTATGTTGACTAATGAGTTTGCCGACCACTGCACTAGGCCCAAGCCCTTTTCTTTCCTTTAAGAAATTACTACTCTAAAATCAAGAACACACAGCCCTAAAACAATTGGAGGAGAAATAAAACGTCTTTGTATCTAGAGCAAGGCTAGTCCAATTACCCTCCCTGGTCCCATTCAGGGTGGAAGCTTCCTCCCAACCCCCACTAAATATTCCAGAGACTTCTCTGTCTCTGGATCTGTTTTTGTTCATCAGTTTATGTTAATTGTATTTCACAAATGAGTGGGATCATGTGATATTTATCTTCCTCCAACTGGCTTATTTCACTTAGCGTAATGCTCATCAGGTCTATCCATGCTGTGGCAAATGGTAAGAGTTCCTTCTTTTTTTAAAATATATTTTTACTGATTTCTGAGAGGAAAGTAGTGGGAGAGATAGAAACATCAGCGATGAAAGAGAATCATTGATTGGCTGTCTTCTGCATGCCTCCCTACTGGGGATCGAGCCTGCAACCCAGGCCTGTGCCCTTGATGGGAATTGAAACTGGACCCTTCAGTCTGCAGGCCAAGCTCTTATCCACTGAGCCAAACCAGCTAATGCAAACATGTTTACTCCTACGTAGAAGGGTGGGCACACATGGTCTGGGAAGGGCTGCTGGTTTATGATCCCTGATGCATGTGACCTGTCCTTTGCTCTTGATTGGAGCCTAGGCTCACAGTCTTTCCCGATTGGCTAATTCAGAGGGAGAGGTTGGCCTTTGCTGTTTGAAGATGGTGGCCCCCAGGAGAGCTGCCAGCCATGTGGACAACTTGGCAGTCTAAACTGCTCTTTGTCAGAAAAGATGGCTTGTTTATTCCCACACCTGGAGCTGGCGTTTAGCAAGGAGACGCGGGTTAAACCTCAAACAGGTGGCTCAGTGGCACGGCATCGACCTGTGACCCAGGAGGTCGCGGGCATCGACCTGTGACCCAGGAGGTCGCGGTTCGATTCCCGGTCGGGACACATGCCCAGGTGGTGGGCTCAGTCCCCATTGCGGGGCGGCCGATCAGTGATTCCCTCTCATTGTTGGTGTTACAAACTCTTCTTCTCTGAAATCAATGGAAAAATATTTTTAAAACGAAAAGTGGAGTAGGTGAAGGGATTATGGGATGGCGGTAGGTGCTGTGCTCGGATTCAGCGCCCAGGCTTCCCGTGGGTATCCCCAGTCCCTCCAGAGCGGGAATGGCCACCTGCAGTAGCTGCGAGCCCTTGGGCCGAAGTCCAGGCTTCCACAGAGGGAGGTCCCATCTCCGGCCCCACCTGGAGGCCCAGAGACTGAGGCCGGGGTTCTGGGCCCTGGCTCCGCCTGAGTGTCACCTTGGGAAGCTTAAAAAATAGATAAAAAGAGGCCCAGATTCAGTCCTCAGAGATTCTGTTCTGATGGGCCTGGCGTGGGACACAGCTATCACCAGTCGTTAAGCAGCTCCCAAGGGCTTCTGGGGCACAAACGGGCTCCGCCGGGGCATCTGGGGGTGAACGAAATTAATCTGCTGGAGGGCGGGGATGAGTGGCCGGTGCTTTCGGGATCCGATCGGCAAAGGCAGCCTGATCCTGCACCTCCCCGAAGTGGGGACTTCCCCCGCCCCAGCCCACAGGCGCAGGCGGGGAAGGCTCTCCATGCGAAGGAGAAGGGGCAGGGCCCTCCTCCACGTGTTCTGTCGTAGCGGGACTCGGGCCTGTAGAGAAGTATCTGCAGGTCACTGGCCTCTGGGCTGGCATCAGGGAGGGGCTGGCCTTGGAATGTTTGCTGGGTCCCGGCTCCGAGGAAGCCAGAGGCTGCCTGTGTGAAGGGATGGGGTGGAGGGGGTGCGGGGGTGGCCGTGTGCCGGGAGCGAGCTCAGGCCCATGCCTAGCAGCCGGCGGAGGCAGGCTTCCTTCACCCCATGCACAGATGAGCAAACTGAGGCC